TTTTCGTCACCTGGCTCGTCGAGACGCCATATTCATCGGGATTCAGTAAAAACACAACTCGGGTCACTGACTTGCTGGAACGAAATTCGGAACACAGGATATTGATCACCCGGGGTGAAAAAGCCATGGGGAGTTGATAGAAAATTGATAGTTTGTAGCTCTTACCTAAGATTGAAACTCAGTCAGATGATATAGAGTGAATAATGCTGTCTAAAAGAGAGAATTTCTGAAAACCTGCAATTGCTTGGCAAGTTCATTAGTAAACAAGTGATCTGATTGGTCACTGCTGACCTCCCTGACCTCCACCAGTGACAATCAGTTTCAGCTTGCCAGGCAATTGCAGATATCCATACAGTGGGGATCATAAAGAATTGCAAAAGATATGAAAATTACATGCTGTCGCACATGTAATGGATCCTTACCTCAGTGTATTCAGTGCTCTATTTTCTCCGTCTTAGTAAGTCCAAATATAGTGGAATTTGTGTCCCTAATGACAAATAAGAACTTCAAAAGTTGAGGTAATTTTGTCGCCCGATTGCGCCGGAACGGAGGATTGGCTCCCAGAATGCAACATGACAATGTGCCAGCTTTCAAAATGCTGTTCCGCCATTTTGAAACCTGTCATGAGTAAATACGGTTAACTGATGTTGCATTCTGGGAGTCAACCATCCTTGGATAACAAACATGGCGATTCATGAAAACATTCATTCGATTTGGTAGGGATTTTATCCATTATTTGCAGGTATGAAGCTTTGGATTCATTTATTGTGCTACTTTAGTGAGCGGGAATTATTTTTCTACCGCTTGGGAGAGTTTGAGACACGAAACTTTGAAATTAGCTCATTGTGACAACTTGTGAACGTTGAGTTTTATGTTCGAAGTGTCTGGAGTACCTTAAAATTTAAGGTTCTTTAGCCAAAAATGCTAAAGAGCCTTCAAATTTAAGGCTATTTAGCTGTGAACATAGTGTTTTGGCTAGAGAGCCTTTGTGTTTATAATCCGTGTTTATATTGTTTTTTATTGAAGTTTTCGTCATCTAAACAATAAAACAACACTCTCGAAAGTTTTTCAACCCAGAATGCCACTTAAAAATTTCACACATGTATATCACTATAGAGTTGTAAAATCTTTAGTCTCATCACGGAATAACATCCTGGTATAGTGGTTAGGGTGCTCGCTTCCCAATTCTGAGGCGTGGGCTCGATTCCCCGATGGAGCACCTATTATTTTGAATAACAAGCCGGAAGTTTGTTCTCCGACCGGTTCTCTGATGTCCGGAAATTATGTACACAATTTTTTCTAGAATTCTTGGGCTTGCTCCATCGCTCAATCATCAATGTAAATTAATCACTTGTATCGGCTCTGCTATAATCTAGTCACGAGAATACAGGGAATCCCATTTTAAGATGGCAAAAAGTATGATGAAGACCTGGGGATGAAAAAGGATCTTGTTTCTTCTAGATCAGCACATCTTGACGCAGTTTATCGTGAATGCAGGGACATCACAGAATACACTTCCAAGTCTAAATGCCCATTAGATTTCAATGCTGATTTTAGAATTTTTCACCTGACGAGATATTTTTGCATCTTCCTCAGAATTTAAGCACATGAGACAGCACAAAGAAAATTTACAGTACAAGAGGTGAACTGTCGAGGAAACAGCGGCTTATGCAACACAACAACAACATTTTTATCCTAGCCTCCAATCCATCAATAAATGTCTATACATCAAAATCTTTACTAAACGGACGTTGCGATTTATAGTGGATAAAATGGTAAAAATTACATTTTTCTGGCTATATACGTGATTGCCTGTTCTTACACCTTCTCTGGTGAACCAGAGCATAGCCGTAGCCAGCGGGGGTTCGGTGGGTTCGAACGAACCCCCGGTCAGGATTTCCCAAAATATCATTTTGCGGAAAATGTATATAACCAGAATCATTAAATTACTGTGCTATTTGAAAACTACATATGTGAGCAGTAAATGAATTGATATTTGTTATGGTGAACACGAGAGCATTATTTTCTTAAAAACATGTCATAGTGAAGTTACACTTCCCTCAAAACGTTTGGCATGCTTCATCTCGGACAAAATAACCCATCTTGGGCAATGGCTAAATCAGTCCTTTATAGGAATTTTGTTTTAAGCCAGTTCTGGTCCAATACGAAGTTATTGAAAGTTATTGAAAACAATGCAGACGTCCCATTCTCTGAATGATTTTTACAACATTGGCGAATAAATATCTGGAAGAGTCGTAATATTGATGAAACACATGTTCTTTCAAATGTGTACATCTCTGTTTTGTTTTATTTCGATTAAAATTAAAAATATTTATTGGGGCCGGGCGTCCCTGGGGCTGGCAAGTCCCCGAAACCAATTAATAATTAAAAACGTTGTGAAATGAATTATTTAAAAGCGTATATCATTTATAAACACAAGCAAAATTCATTCATTCTTTCATTTGTTCAGTATTTATTTACCCATAACTTTCCAAAGAAAAATCAATCATTGCAAAAAATGTTGTTTTTTCAGATACACTCCACTCATCTCCACTGTAAGAGATTGTATAGAATTCAAATTGTTATCGTTCCAGTTTACTTGCTCTCCATTATTTCATGTTAATGTCATAATATGTTTAGCGAATAAATAATGTAATAAAAAAAAACATTGAAAAATTATATGGTATTTATCTTCAAATAATGAAGGCCTAATTTGTTATCAAGCCGTCTGAACTTAACAAAATAACAGTCGATTGTATTTATATATAATTTTATCCACTAAAACGTTTTTATTATCAATTGCGGTTGATCTGCTCTGGGGGACTTACCACTGAGCTCCGATGACGTCCAAAGAAATATTTTTAACTTTTTAAAACAAAGCATAACCGAGACCCACTTATTTGAAAAATAGATATTTTCATTGATCAGTAATACGACTATCCCGGATAGTTTATAAAGCCTTCGTGTAAACGTTGTGAAAAGTTATCATAGAAGAACGATCTTTCGGAGTAAGGGTGTTTGCGTCAATTTCAATAACCTTGCATTTGATCCGAACTGGCTTCCAACAAATTTCCTGAAAATAATGATAAGCCATTGCATGAGGTGATTTATTTTGTCCAAGATGAAGTAGCTTAAGTTAAAGAATAAATTGTGCGAAATAGTTGATATTCCTTGGAAACAAATCATGCTCCAGGGTCTCCCAGAAATCAGTCGAAATAATGGTGGATTCGGGGCAAATCAGATTTCAGGATATGTATTCAGTAAAAGATTCACCGAAGTATATTTTGATGCAGAAAATTAATTATAAGTTGTCTGACTTTTTTGCACGTTGCCTGTTTATTTTACTTTGTGAACATTAAAGTCGCAAAGCTACAAGGTCATTTTTGAAAATCATTTTTGCGTCCAGACTTTTCTCATGTCATTCCTTGTCATGTCTATTTTCTAAAAATCACAACATTACATACTTTATTCCAGGAAAACTAAAGATTTTTACAAAAATGTATTATTTTTCTATAAGAATGGTTACCATTCTTATTATTTGGGAGAATTTAAACATTTTCACTCATTTTTGCACTTTGAATCATTAATAACTTCACCAATTTATAACATGTTGTGAATCTTTTGGGAGATATTGTATTTGATATTGTAAGGAATAGATTGGTAGGTCAATTATACATGTTGCTTGTAATTTTATCACCCCCTATAGATCAGATTCTGCCTTTAATGAAGGTATTGAAATGAATTATATTTCCCCTCCCAAAATAGTTTCTTTACAAATTATGCAAATAAGAATTCAAACTTAAAGATGATTTAATACATAATTCAATGGGGTAGTTAGGATTGCCAAACTTTTGGAGGGAGTGTAATTGTACAAATTGCATTATTTGAGAAACCCTAATGAAGGGGGGGGGGGATTTGTGAATAACATAAAAATAGAACCCCCGGTCACCAAATCCTGGCTACGCCACTGCAGAGACATATATTTTCGATATATGCATGAACATCAAACAAATAAACATTTACTTTTCAAAATCGATGTTTGTACCTTTAAAAAGCCAAATTTAGACTGGGGATTGAAAAGGTTCTTTTATTTCTCTCGGTAGACCGGAAGTAAATTTATGAGTCGAGCAAAAAGTGATAATGTTTTTTTGTGAAGTGGGGAAGTCAAAACAGTACTAAAAGAAGTCATAGTAAGCATTAGAAGATCATTTAAAACCATTCAAATCGACGGCAAAGTTAGTTGATATGACTGAAATCTTTATATATTATCTTCTTCATCTTCGCGGACCTCAGAGAAGTCACTTCCGGTTTAATAATCAGTGATTTTATCGATCAAAAAAATTTTCTTTTTGAATTTGTCCGATATCTGCTAATATGGTATGTATATTTGTGCTGATTGTTAAATTACAAAATAGGTTGGGTATAGAATATGTCAAAGTCGTTTGATCTTGTCCCAGAAGCAATATTTCGTCATTTCTGTTGCCTGGAATTCCTCTAAGGCTCTCTAGCAGAATTGGCTATCAAAATGCTAAAGAGCCTTAAAATTTAAGGCTCTTTAGCCCAAATGCTAAAGAGCCTTAAAATTTAAGGCTCTTTAGCATTTTGGCTAGAGAGCCTTAAATTTTAAGGCTCTCCAGGCGCGGCCATTTTTGTCCCCCACTGTAGTTGTTGTTTATGCAGTAGACTATTATATGCAGTTTTTAGATAAAGATTTGAAAAAAACAATGATATAAGTTTGAAAAACACTTTGAAGAAGATTTTGGAGAGATTTGGGAATACAATTTGATACCAGTAAGGAGAACTAGTCTAGTGCCAAGACTAAAAAATTGGAAAAATTTTCAATCTTAGTCTACTTGCGATTTGCGAACCTATGTACAGTTTACTATTACTTTTCCCTTGGCCTATGGGTACGCCTGCGTAGACAAGACCTCACACAACGATTCGACAGAAACTTATTCTTAAAACTCCAAAAAGAGATCTTTTATAAATTCTATACTTACCTCACCGGAAGGTGCCATTCTCTTTATGTCTCCACATGGAGTAGGGGCAATCTGCAGAAGTTTGATTTTCACTCCCCGCCAATCCAGCAATTTGATTGGGTCAAATTATTAAAACGCATGCGCAACAAATTCTGTGTATTCGGGGGATTCCCCACTACGTCATGTCCCGCATCATCTCCAATCAAATTGCAGGATGTGATCACGTGAACAATCATGAGCACGTGCTCTCTTAGTGCTGCGCATGCGCAAAGCTAAATTTGATATTTCACATTGGATTGGCAAAGGTCGATAGAAATAATTTTTAAATAAAGATGGCAGGGTAATCGATCTTTGTTTATAAATATTCTGGATGATACTGGATTCTGTTGGTGCTGTCATCTTTATGTCGGCCCAGAACCTGTGGTTTTTCATCAATGGAAGTACTTCATTCCCATGATTCAAATTGGTTTCCTGCGATCAGATCGGTTTAAATTTGTACATCAAATTATAGATGCTGGCCAGATCGTTTTGTTGTAGGATCTCATAGGCTCAAAGAATAATTCAGAAGATGCGTCACTAAACTGGAAAATTCAAAAAAGTGACCACCTTTCGAAACGTTCCTTATACCATGGACGTATATTTCGATAATATCATAGGCGAAGGTCGATAGAAGTAATTTTTTTAAATAAAGATGGCATGGTAAATAATCTATCTGAGTTTATCTATATGTTTCTCTTGAGAAAAAGATAATTCTGGATTCTGTTGGTGCTGCCATCTTTATATCGGCCCATAACCTATGGATAATATACGTCCATGCTTTCACAGATCTTCGCAGAACGGTACATGCTTCCCCGTGACAGATTTTGCACTAACTGCTTAATTTAAAGCTGAAATCTTTATCTTTCTATTTCTCCTTGTTTAGTTTGAACCCATGGACGCACTAATTTAACCACCAGTGTCACGATATAGGGAAGCGATTTTGGTTTTTTATTTCGTGCTACTTTTGGACTTACACAAATTGTAAGATACATTATCTATCTTTGTCTTGCACTAAATTGAATATAGTCACTTTTAAAAAGACATGAATTAGCACATTCCATGACGAAGATAATTGACAGACTGTTGAAAATGTGAGTTTTGACCTAGTTCTTGACCATTGACCTAGATAAAGATTGACCTACCACAGTTGTCTAAACCTACAAAGGTTAGTGCCCTTGAATCTATAGCAGGACAGAATGAATGAAGTGGGATTCTACGATTTCTGCTAGAAAATGCAACAAATCTGCCTGATTTATTTTTTCAGATTTCCTACAAGCCTATCATATTTCATGAGAATGTTTGCTAATAAATCGCTCAATGAATAGATGCATAGTGTAACAAAACCTTTTTGTGATTTCACACGAACGTTTCTAAATAATAACGATCGCCTAATGAGATAAGAGGTAAGAAAATTCATTTCCGGATTTTCCTGATTCATTATTCAGAGGCGCAAACATCCTTGTCCGACTTTAGACAATGACTTGGAATAATAATATTCATAAGAAGCCAACAGATACTGTTTCAAATAATTAGAATCGAACGCTCGTGTATTAATGTTCAAGCAAATGATGGCTGTAATTTATTTGGCGATCAAACTTATGTTTGTTGCTGCACGCGACCTATTGATTTCTAAAGGTAACTCTCTTGGGAAAATTGTTGCCTATTGGTTTGATCGGATGTGGTCTGTATGCCTACAAAAACCTGATTGCTCACTCGGTTGCATATGCATCAATTAATCCATCAATAGCGCTCACTAAGTTATTTACCCTTAGTAGTATGGTAGAAATATTTTTCAATATTACACTATCGCTGCCATTTAGCCACCTTGATTGATTTAAGCTATGGTCAGCATTGCCTTGATAACTGGGATCTGAATTAATCTAACTACATGCCATCCCAGCACCTTTTTTCAAAGAAATTGTGGGATATAATAAAGAGATTTCTAAGGCCCCAAAAGTGGGCATTTTCGATCATTACTGAGCCTTTTAAGGCCTTTTTTAATCAAATTTTGAAGAGATGAGCGGTGACGGAACGTCAATGTAACAAAATGGATGGACTTCCTGGATACAAGTTTTTGTTTTCTCGATTTAAACTTAGTATAAGTCATCTTGCGGATTATCATTTGGCACAAAGTTAGACAATATAGTCTAGCTTTAAGAAATGCTCTCGGTTTGGAATTTGAGTTTTAAATAAAGCTGTGATTCATGCATTTAGACCATCGCTTTTGTTACATTGACGTAAGTCGTCAAAGTAACATACATTGATAATATAACGGACTTACGTCAATGTAACTAGCAATGGACAACCGGTTTTTTAATTAACCCAACTCCATTAAACTGTATATTTTCTGAAAGCTTGGAGTATTAATAAAAAGAAAATCTATAATTTTTTAGAAAATGTATACTGGCCGTGACACGCAATTAAAGTAGGTCAACCCCAGGAGGTCCGAAAATCGGTTTTTGCTAAAAATTGACCCCAACTTTGAAATTCAATTAAAAATTAACAACAGGTTTATCTTATCATACCTTATTTATTCTTGTTACTCCAACTTTTATTCAAACAATAAAAAAACGAAAGTCTAATATAAGTTCATATAGTTTATAGGGTATCACCCATGTGCGTTTCTTGTATTTTCAAAAATAAACATCTGCAATGTACAATGTTCTGTGTCTCTATCATTTTGATCAATGCAGTACATTAGTCCAGATATTTTTCTATTATATGAGTAATATTCTTTCAATGTATACAAATAGTGTATTTATATGCTGGCACCTACACGTATATCACTAAATTATTTTCCATAATATACAATATACATATGTCCATATGTACATGTATCATAGTTTTCAAAAGTCTTGAGAGACCAATATAAAACTTTCCAAGTCGTCAAAACAAGCATGCTGCATCAAAAAATCAATGGTTCGAGACATCAAGTGATCAATGGTATGGAACATCAAGTGATCAACAGTACTGGATATCAAGTAATCAACAATCTAGGACGATCTATAGTAAATAATAAGTATGGGAATCAAGTAATTAACAGTGTGAGAAATCAAGTGACCAATGGTATGGGGTAGAAAGTGTTAAATAGTATGGGACACCAATTGATCATAAACATTGGGCAGTAAGTGATGAACGATATAGGGCAGTAAGTAATCAACAAAATGGAACATCAAGTGATCAACAGTATAGGAAATAATCAACAGTGTGATCAATAGTATGGGAAATCAAGTAATCAACAGTATGGGACGTCAAGTGATCAATAGTATGGGAAATCAAGTAATCAACAGTATGGGACGTCAAGTGATCAATAGTATGGGAAATCAAGTGATCAACAGTATGGGTCATCAAGTGATCAATAGTGTGAGACGTCAAGTTGTCAATAGTTTGGTATATCAAATGATTGATAGTATGGGACATCAAGTCGGATCAATATAGTATGGGCGTATAGTATGGGGTATGGGACCTCAATGATAAACTTTTACAGTATGGGGCATCAAGGGAGACGAGACTGCAAGTAGTCAACGTGATTATCCGATGATATTAGATTGGGGCACTTCAATTAATGAATAATATAGCAGTGTCTAATAAGTCCAAATGCAACGGATATCGTATGAAGAAGTTCTCAATAGCATATTTGCTTTCATAAATATGCATTTATTTGAAGTAACAAACACAATTGAACACAGATTAACCAAAATTAACGATTTTATTTTTGCACAAGACACACCCCTGAAGATATAGAGGTTCTTATATGAGTACCTGTGCAAGATCGTGCATTCTTGATGAGCTTTGATAATTCTTCTTTATACGAGATAAAGAAACATTATCAAAGCGAGTCAAGAATGGACGATATTGCACAGGTACGAGTACAAGAACGTTTTTCTCATATGACTTTGTTTTATGCCATATTTTCACCATTTTATTATAAAACTGAGTGAAAAATAGCTTAGATGAATCTATCAGGTGTATGAAAACCAAGGATTGTGAGTCTCACACTGCACCGTTTTCTTCAAACTTGTTCCGTACAAAGCAAAACAAAAATGCCTTTCTGTAGGTGTATTGCATTATTCTACAGAGTCTCTCGTTTTAGCGGCGTTAGGGTCCCCAGCTCTGAGATTACACGAATTTTCATAAAGGATACATATCAATATGGTGAACTGAATTCAACAATGTGTTTTTCAAACCAATTATTGAAAACATTCTGTAAAAAAACACGGTCCTTTATGTTGACTGATTGGCAACAATTTAATGCAACAAATTATATATATTTTATATAACTGTTTTTGTTAATATTTTTTGTTTTTAATGCAGTTGTTTTTGTGTACCTTTCTACCAATTCTTGAGAATGAAATAAAATGTCTTTCCGAACCTTGTTGAAACAAAATAGCATATACAACATTTTCTTAGACCTCTCAATATTACAATTATACAAAGGAAATTTTGATTGATTTTACAAAAAGTATGCAAAAACTTAAAACAAAACCCCCCAAAATAGATAAAAATTAAGATAAACATTTTATTTCATTAACAAGATACTTTTTAAAATCAACCAAACTTTCCTTTGTACAATTACAATATTGACAGACTTAAACACATTTTGTTTATATCGTTTTGTTCCAATGAGGTTCGGATAGATGTTTCATTTCATTTCGAACATATGATACCAAGATCAAAAGAAGTGTCTCATGTGTTTTCTAAAACAATATAGAGAAAAGGATATATATATATTTTTTTAATTATAATGTTACCATCCAAAAGATGACCATTAAATTGACGATGTGTAAAATTTTCAGAATGTTTTGATGACTGCTTTAAGAGAAACGTGTGTTCAAAAAGTTCACCATATCGATACCACTCCTTTCAACTATGAGTTAATGAAAACACAGGATCAAATCCTGTGCTAAGGGCTGATGTGAAAAAGTCAGTCCGACCCCAATGGGGATCGAACCCACGACCCCTCGCTTTCTGTTATCTCGCCAGTTCTTTCCTAATTTTTGTCCATACAGGGTAGAGATTAAAAGGTGGATTGGATCGAGTGGATTGGATTCATGTAAAAGGTGGATTGGATCGGGAATCTTCAAAATGTGGAATTTCTTATAAAAAATAAAAAAAATTCTGTTGATCTCCCTCTAAACAATTTCCCTCTACAGTATT